TGGGCCGTGGATCACACACATCTCATCTTACCGTACTTACAGAATCCGCTTTGTAATTGTGCTGTTTAATGCAGCACAATATCACCACTTCGAGGAGATGGATTTCCAGGGCGAGAGCGGAGGAAGGGGAAGGGGCGGAAACAGCGAGTGGAGGGGGTGGGGCAAGGGCAGGGAAATTTGATGAAGTACCTCAAAGTTTGATGCAAAAACGCATGTTCGCACCGGCTCGCCTGGTGCGTTCCAGCCTGGGTTTTCTCCTTTTTTCCTTCTTTCCTTTTATCCTTTTTTTTTTATTAACCGTTTCTTGAGGATCAACAGTTTCATCTGCAGTGCATGACGAACTCATTGCGAAAAATTTCAAAACTGGTTTAAAACTGATAATAGAAAGGGGGATCATCACCTTCCTCAGTCCAACCAATCGCAGTTGAGCGCTTGATGCTTGCGAGAAAGGATGGACTCACATCGGGCTGTGCACAAAATTCCGCACATGTTACGTCAGTTGCTCACCTCAGTTACCAATGCGACGTAAAGAGATGTTACTATGGGAGTGAATCGAACCGCCTTCTGCACATTCCGCCGCCACTGCACGCTCGTGAGTAGGGCATTGTAGTCCCCAGCAAAATGGCTGGTTGAGAAAGAGCTGCCGCAACTCTACTGGGGTCTAAAAAGAAACGGAACTTTACCTCGGGATCCATCAAGGAGGAAGTTCTGGTGGTGGCTAGTAGGATAATGACCGCTTCCTTGCCCTGAAATGAGTCCACCTTGTGGACGTCATAATTAAGGTGCTGTAGTTCACGCTCCAAACTATCTTTGCACCGAGATAGAAGCATATCACTGTTATGGACACATTTCGCTGCCTCTGAAACATTCGCATTAATCCTGGAACGTAGCAGGTCCCTTTCACTGCGTCCTTGATGGTGAATTTGAACCAGTGGTGTCTGGCAGCTGGGAGTGTCATTCCACTGCGGGAAAATTTTGTTCTGTCCTTCGCCCTGATTCCTGGAAACAATCACTCCTCATACGCGGTTACGGAGGAGCAACTAACTAGTAAGAAGTGGATGCGCGCGAAAGTTAGTGTGTAGACTACGAATCGATATTGCACACCGGTCGTCGATCGAACTGATAATGCTGCGCATACCATAATTAATGTTCGGAGTCAGGATTCCGTCCACGTTCTTCGGCAGCTATTCTCGACCGCTGGTTAAGAATACCAGGCGGAGCCGCGAGAACGCCCCACAGGCAGCTAGGATCCATGCCTCGAGGACTACGCTCGCTTCATCCAGAATTAGGTAGCTGGCGCTACCGTGAAACTGCCGATGATGTGTCTGCACCAGTGCGAACGTACCTGCCACTAACTTGTGCTGTTGGTCCGCTAGAACAAGTCGGAGAGCTCGGCTATCATCAACTTGCAGGCCTTGGTGTGACAGACGATGATCGATATAGTGCCAGACAAACGCCCCATGTTTATTGTGGACCTTGACGACGCTGGCCCTGCAGAGCCTCCAGTAGACGTGATTTCCGCCAGATGTTTGGCTCAGGGTCAGCAGGAAGGGTAAACCAATTCTGCCTCAAATGACTGGGGGAAGAACACGGCATTTTCACGCAGATCCGAAATCCTTCTGAAAATCGCGTTCATGGCATTAATAACTGCCACATTAGTAGAAGCTGTGACCAAGATTAAATCATGCAATTCAAGATCCCCCAACAGATGGTGTACATACTCAGCTATCATTTTGGTCTTACCTGTTCCAGCAGGTGCTTGCTGAAATAGCACGGGAACACCACGCTATAAATCCTGCAATACACCCCTTCGTTGCTCCGTTAGAAATCTTTCGATGGACGGCAGCTGTTGGTTCTCATTCGCCGAGGTTATGACCGATGCGTCCCAACGAGGTTCTTACTACAGGTGTATGTGCCTCAGGGAAACGAAAGGCAGTCGTTAGGCAACGGTCTCTCAACTGGCGCCAAATGGTGATTATATTTAAATCGGAACCATCGTAACTGAACACGTGCAGATCTGGTTGGCATAGTTTCTGTACTTGAACCCTAGCAATCAATGACACTGCGCCAAACTCGTCATAATCGACCTTTCTGATGGTAGCCTGCACAGTGTCAATACCACTAAAAGTTGCCTGCAAAAATGCTTTGGACTGCCAGAAATTTTATTCTGTTCACCTTGATACAGAGGTCATTATTCGGGGGAATTCTTGCAAGAAAGTCCCTATCATTAAGCCTTCCATCCCTTCGAGCACATGGACCGTACGGTTGTGCATACGCGCCGCCGCAGCTAACAAAGTATCTTGGTAGGCTGCTACAGTATCGTACCACGTTTCCTCATCTTCCGCTAGTTCCAGCTTGTGCGAAATGAGTGGAACTGCCCGGCCATTGAGATGTAGCTCAGAAAGAAATGAAACTTAGCCTTTTACCGTGACGTATCCCATATCCGGTTGATTTCTGAAACTTTTTGATAGCACAAAATTCTGACCTTCTTGGGCCCCGGTAGGTACGACTACTTGATCGGATAAATGTATGGCTCCTGCCGGTGGATAGTGGGCAGTGCGAGACTCAGTTCCATAAACCCGAGCTAGCCCAGTTGTTTCATGGTATCGTGATACGAATGTGATCTTGCGCTAATCCCGCGTGTTCTCATTACTAATTTGTATTACCAACAGTATTTGTTTGGGACCAAAATATTCTGATGGACAATGTACAGCGTCGGCCACTGTAGGCGCAGCAGGCGGCTTATTGCTGAGTAAAACCCAGGCTGGAAAGCATCAGGCGAGCCGGTGCGATCATGCGTTTTTGCACAAAACTTGAATTTGGTTAATTGCATGAACGGTTGTTTCTTCACACCTACCTTGTGTGCTTAATGCCGAAAATCATCGTAAATTTTGCATAAAAGAAATAAACTGTTTCCGTGTAGCGGTGTTTTTTGAAAGTAGCCCAACTGTTCAATGAGTAATTTTTCTGCCAGAAATTTAATTGCCCCTACATGAAAATCACGCGTAAATGAAGACTGAATTTGAAGATTTAAGTCTTATTTGGACGAGGGATATTCTCTTAAAATCTGAGCCTCCCAACTTTTCTGGTTCTTGAGTTAGCAATTTTCCAGCCAAAACGTTCACAGGCCCGTACGTGACCTAGGAGCATACTTGGGGGCTGGTTTGGAATTTTTAAGTTGTATGCAGGCTGAGAATATCCTTTTAAAATTTTAGCCTCCCAGCCTTTCTGGTTCCCGAGTTAGTCATTCACCTGCCAAAAAAGTTTCACGAGGCCATGCATGAGAACCACGTATGACTGGGGATTGAATTTGATAGGTTTATGTCGTACTTGTGCCTGGAGAATTCCCTGAATATTTCAGCCTCCCAGCTTTCCGGGTTCCCGAGTTAGCCATTTTCCAGCCAAAAAATTTCGCGGGACCATACGTGAGAACCACGGATAACTGGGGGCTGAATTTGATAACTTCAAGTCGTATATGAGCTGTGAACATTCCCTGAAAATTTCAGCCTTCCAGCTTTTCTAGTATCCGAATTAGTAATTTTCCCTCTAAAACTTTCATACGCCCTTACGTGAGTACCATGCATAACTGAGGGCTGGATCCGAAATATTTAAGTTGTACTTTGACAGGGAATATTTCCATAAAATTTCAATCTTCCAGCTTTGCTAGTTGCCGAATTAGCAATTTTCCCCTTGAAAATTTCATACGCTCTAACGTGGGTACCACACATACCTGGGGGCTGAATTTGAAAACCCTAGCCGGTACATGCACGGGGAATATCTCTACAAAGTTACAGCTCCTTAGCTGGTGTGGTTCCTGAGATCGCCCTCCCGCCAAAAAATTCGCATATTTTTTTAAGGGGCCCGCACCCGGCGCCCAGGCGTCCGCAGGGGATGATATTAAAATGGGAAGGTCGCGCATGGTATGGATACATATTCCCAAGTTTCAGCCTTCTACCTTTTTCCGTTCCCGAGTTGTCAATTTTCCCGCCAAAACTTTCCCACTCTCGTACGCGGGGCCCAGACGAGCGTGAGAGATGGTACCGCGTTTCTGGGGTGGCACTTCGCCGGGGTACCCATTAGCAAAGTCTCGGCGCTGGAACTTCTTGCTTGCCGAGTTGAAATACCCGGACAGACGAACACACACACATAAACATACACACGCATACATACACACACAGACAGGGTCGTCCCAGTATGCATTTTTGCAATTTGCATGTAGACAAACACGCATAACTAGGCGACTACTAAAACTTGGTTCGGCTCGGCCGAGGCGTTTTGCGCCCCAATGAGGCATCTGTCATCTCTGGTAACACTATTTCGTATCGCTAGGAGGAAAAAACGCTTGGCAACGTGCCAGAAAAGTGGGGCAACGTTGTCCTTGCAGAAAGTAGAGGATGGTGAAGCTCTGGTGGCTTGGTGCGTGGTGTGCGTGTTTATCGTGCAAGAAACCGGCATCGTATGCAGGAAGGGGGGTTTTGCAGACTCTCCCGGTTTTTTTTGTCGCCACCAGCAGCGCTACTTGCAGGAAATGTCAGAACGGGAGAGGGAGACACAGATACACGCACACACAGAAAAGGGCAACCCCTGCTCCATGTGCTTATTGCGCTTTATTGGGCCAAAAAAAAGCTAACAAATTTGTCGTACGCTAGGGAAACCTTAGCGGAGGACATACGGATGGTTGTACATTATTGCACATTGTCCTGGCTGAGGGCCATAGATTCCCCATCCCAACCTGTCCTGGCTGGGGGCTTTGGGTCCCCATCCCTCCTGTGCTGGCTCAGTATCATGGGTCCCATTGCCATCCAGTGGCATAGCAATCCTTGTTCTCCTCCTTCAGCTATTTCCTTTACTAAGCCTTCAGTTCCGACCTGGATGTGTATATATATTGTTTCCTTGGCATTATTTACTGGAAGCAATCTACTCCTGACCACCCTTTCTGTAGCACTCCTCTTGTCCTGGCTGAGTACCATGCGTCTCAGTACCACAGAGATCTGTGGGTTTTCATTGTCTCATTTCATTTCTTTACCTAACCATACTCAACATCATTCTCTTCCCAACCTGGTTCAGTGTCATTCCAACCCACCCACACTGTAACGCTCTTCCTCATTTCTTCTTCTACACCTAAGCATTATCAACATCATTCTCTTCCCATCCTGGTTCGGTACCATTCCCACACTCCAATGCTCCTCTTTTACCAATCTTCCTATTGCCTTACCTAAGCATTATCATCATCATTCCTCCTCTCGTCCTGATTCAGTACTATTCCAACCCACTCACATTGTGCTCCTCTATTACCCCACTCTCTGTCTCTTATTTCCTACCTAAGCGTTATCATCTTCCTAAGGGGTGGGAGATCCATGGCCCTCAGCCAGGACAGGCGGGATGGAAGTAAAGTTTTCTCAAATTTCTCATTTGATTTCACAAAAAAGTTCATGTATGTAAAATTAAATGCACTACTTTCGATAGCTAAAAGGAAAAAAAATTGGCCAACGCACGGACTGCCCGTGCGAAGATGCGTTTTTTGCAGAGTTCCCCGCAGTT